TGTAAAGACTGAAAGAGTTACAAGCGCCATTTTCTAGCCCTAATTCAAACTACATTATACCTTAAGACCAAAACTCCTACTGAAAATTTCTTTTCGCATCGCATCGAAATAACCACTTCCATCCACCCACCAATTATGCCCCATGAATGCACAATAAACATAGCGAATCGAACTCAATAAACACGATCGAACAGACATCAATTTCAACGCAGGAATTTCACACGGACGACAAATTAAAGTAATTAGGATGCCTATGCAATGGATAAACTTACTTGCAATGGGAAAAACAGTGATCTTCTGATAAGTAAACAGAGGATTGAAGCTTTTGCCAGGGGCCAACAATGGCGGAGGTAGAGTAGCAAAAATGGAAGCCATGATTAGTGAGTAGTAAGGGAAATCAATGAACTCTTGAGTGAAATTTACACTCCCAAATAAAAAATTAAGTAGAAAATATGGGATTATCGGGAACTCATGGCCTTGGATTGACGAACCTATGCTTGTAGCTACAGAAGATAAGATTTCGGACCTTCGGTGCTTCGCTGCTTCAACCTGCACCACAAGGATTTTGATTTCCAGATTTTTTTTTTTTTTTTTTTTTTTAATATTAGAGAACAAAATCCATTTATTAATTTAAACTTATTAAATTATAAATTTGATATAAATAATCTATTTTTATAAACTACTTATAAAGATTTAATGAATTTCAAAATTCTATATTTCTATAAATAGTAAATACCAAATTTACCATTTTACCTTCCTTTGATTTTAAACCACTCAAAACTGTTTTAAAATACAATAAATGTTTTTAAAAAAATTAATAAAATATAATTCAAATATGAATAATATATTATGCTATAAATTATATGATATGGTAAAAATAATAACAACATAACGATTATTCCATAAATTAATCAATAATACTCTTTATTCAATCTAATCTTTAGTTAACAGCTAGTTTTACGGGTTATGAATAATATATATATAACACATTTTAAATAGTTTTAATTGAAATTAAATTTATAAATATACTAACATATGAAAATATAAAATGCAATTTTGTATTCATCGTTAACTACATAATATGCCTATTTAGTTTTTTTTTTTAATACTTTTCAAACTTAATTAATCTATTAATTTTAAAACCTATAAAAACTTAATTGTATCTAAAAGTAATTAATTTAAGAACAAAATACTCTTAATTTTTTAAAATTTTCAATAAAAACATTTTTTTAATGTTATTTTTAATACAAACGGTTTATAAATTTTTAAAATTATTTATTAAAATATAAATATCTAACTTTCACATGCATTCAAAAAATATTTTTAAGGTATTGAATTTTCATTAATATTCTTTTTTCTTTTTTTAACAAAACTTTAAAAATACATTTAGATTTTTTTTAAAAACTGTTTTTAAAAAATCAAAAATACCTTACACTGATACTCGGTTTCAAAAATATTCACAAACTTTCAAGAATAAAGTTAAAAAGTTTGGAGATAATTTATGAAATACAGATAAACAGTTTTTATCCATATATTGACAGTAGAGATGTTAATTGTTAAGAATCACAACTCGCCACAATGATACGATATTCTCTCCTTTTTATTAATTTAACATATTAATTTAAGTCGAATACAAATTATCATCTTAAATTATTATCGAACTAGGTGTTAAAGATTTGAGTCAATAGGTCCCATTTCCAAACAATATTTTAGGATGAATTTAGGATATTCACATAATTTAACGTGGTACGATGAGGGTGACGCAAAACAAACAAAATATTAAATTAATTTTTGTCTACCACTAAAGAAAAAGAAGCTGCCAAGACAACACGTTTTTCTAACCTTCTTTTATCCAATTAACTTCTGGCACGTGTCAAGCCGCTGTCCTGACGCCAGCCTTATGAAATTAAATCGGATAGTGACAAAGGACCCAGTGGGCTTGGCTGGTTATTATCCACTGCGTCTCGGTCCCATGGTTTGGCCCACGCTCCTCACAGCTTCACACCCCGACTTTTGTAATTTATTTTAAATCATCTTTATAATATAATTTTTTAATTAAACTATTAATTAAAAAAAATTAATGTATCTTAATATTTTTTTTTCCAAATTTAATATTAAAAAATGTCATAATTATCATCACCTTGTTATATTTTATGTCAAATATGTTAATGAATTTATATTTCAAATGATAATTTTAATACACATTGTATTATTATAATTATTGGAATAAATTTAAAATTATTTATAATTTAGTCTCTGTTTTTCCGTCCATAGCACATTAATAGGTGGGGCCAACTCCCAACTTTTTCTAATTTTCCTCTCATCTTAATGTGATAATTTAAAAAAAAAAAAGCAAATTAAAATTATAACACTTTTTTTTTTAATTCAAATTTATTAAAATAATATATAACATGAAAATGCCACGTTAATAAAGAACAAAACATTAAAAAATCAACGATAACTGTCCTACCCAAACTAACTTCACTTGCAGTATGATCTTTCTTGAGTCGAGATTGACCTTTAATCGGGCATGTGTTGAGAATTGTTGGAAGAGGAGTCCCACATTTACAAATTAAAGGATTGATCACAAGTTTATAAGTAATAATATATCTCCATCCACCCGAGATAAATCATTAGAGTTTATACTTAAAGCGGAAAATATTATATCATCGTAGGAGTATGTGATACCTAAACTGTATCCATATCAGACACTTTCTTTTACGAAAAAAAACGAGGTAGGTAATGCTATTATTTTCATTTTTTTATATATATAATCAAACGATGACAAACCGTAAAATTTATTTGAAGAGAAAGAACAATTAAGAACTTCCTAGATTTTTATTAACTTTGGTTCGTTAGGTTGATAATTGACTTTAGTTAAGAACTTCGGTTTCGATGAGTTTCTCTTTTCTATCTATTTGGTGGTCTCGTTTTTTTATTTGTTTTCGCCTATTTTATTCCATGATCAGATGATTCATCTCGCCCGGCCACATTTTTTTTTTATAGAAAAGAGAAATAATTCTCTCTAAAAATTTATAAAATTAAATTCCTAAGAGCTATAAATGTATTTATTTTAAATATAGAGAAAATAAATATGACGGGATATTCAAAACAATTTCCTATCTAAATGATAAAATTGTGGTAACGATGCTGACATGGATATAATTTAATACATAAAGATATTCGTGATTTTTTTTTTTTTTTAAATTAAACGCATTGTGTATCCAACGGATAAAATTATAAAAGGGTGATTTAGTAATTTGATTTTTTTTTGTTAATATATATATATTTTTAATTAAGATATTATATAATTTAAAGGTTATAAATTTTAATATAAACATAATTCAAGGATAATTTACATACATTATTTTCTTATTTTCTTTTATTTGGTCGAACGGATAAATCTTCAAAGCCACAAAAATGATTTTTGAAAAAACATAAATTATTTATGAAATCGAGATATTTATTATTATACAAATTCTTAAATATTTTTTTTATTTAAATTACAAATTGAATAATCGAATGTTTTTTTTATAATAATTTGATAAATAGTTATAAATAATCATAAAATAATGGTAAATATTAGTTATTTTGCATGTGCTGTTCAACTGTCAACCATTATAGCCCACATAAATTATGATATTTATCATTATCTTTCTTTTTTCTTTTTAAATAAGGAGATATTTATTTTCACTCACTTTCCATTTATACCCTTTCCCCACGTTTCTTCAATGCACTAAATCACTCACCTGTCAATTATTCAATCCACTGTCTATTTAATCTCGTATTTAATAAATTTGATTTATACAATATGGAAAATGACAATTATTTTAGCTAACCCAAAAAAGTTCTAAATTCAATGACTTATTTTCCTCATGTGTTAAATATATTATTTAGAATTTAATAAATCAATTGAAATTTATTTACAATTATACCCCTGTCCTTCTTCTTTTCTTATCTCTTTCAACGAGAGCCACACGAGATCAAATGATTTTTTTTATAAAGTATATTTCTCCGTTCCCATTTGGTCGAAACTAATAATTTAACTTTTCATCTTTAAAAATAATCATAAAAAATATGTTTGGAAGATGATTGGAGTAAAAAATATTGATTTTATCATTAATTTTATTTTTGTTTAGCTACATAAATAATAATAATAATGAAAAAAAAATCTATATACATCACTCACGTTTAAATTAAAAAAATGATAAACACATATATATATATATATATTTTAAAGTGAGTGAAGAAGAATAAAAGTTAAAATTAATGGAAAAATTGGCTATATTTTTTTTGTCCATTCAAAATTGAATAACAAATTTAGCATAGGGCGCATATTCCACCTTTTACTTTTTCTTTCTCTTTTTTAGATAATTAATTTTATTAAACGTGAAACTTCAATAAAAATTCATACACAGAGAAAGAAAAAAACAATTTAATGGAAAAAAGAAAAAAGAAAAAAGAAAAAGAAATATCCACCTCTTGTGTAACGTGAATTTGATGGATCATCAGTATTTCTTTCCATCTTTTTTTTTGTTTTTTTTCTCTGGAATGCTAAAATCCCTTTTTCTATTTGCAGAAATTCAATTTCAATTTTCAAAGCCCTCATAGCCCTTTTAATCGCACAGCTATTAATGGCCGTTGTCATGTCCGACAACCGCCCATCTCGCCGTGTTATGAATGTTCCTTCTTCTCCGGCTCTTTCTCTCACCCTTGTACTCATCTTCTTCACACACTTCCTCTAAATCTTTCTGCAAAAATGCACCTCTAATGGTTTTTTTTTTTTCTTTTTCTTAGGCTGGGGTTTTCCAGAATGCGGTGGATATGGGCGCCGACGCGCCGGTGAGGAGAGAGGACAGCTGCAGTGACAACTCCGAGCCGGCGGGATCGAGGTCGGCGGAGGATTTGGGTGCCGAGCCTGATGATGAAGACGAAGATAAGTTACTGGGGAATAGAAAAAAGAGAAAGAATCGTCATACTTCAGAGCAAATCAGAGAAATGGAGAAGTATGAAACTCAAATTTCTACACTGTTCATCGTTTATATATGGAAGAAATAGGAAGATTAAACAAAGTTAACGAACGAACTCCATTTCTTGTACTGATTAATGGAAGAAATATAAAGAAAATGGGAATGGATTTAGAAGATTGAAGCAAATTTAGAGGACTATTTGCAGGGTGTTTAAAGAGTCTCCTCATCCCGATGAGAAACAGAGGCAGAAACTCAGTGAGAATCTTGGTCTTCATTCTAAGCAAATCAAGTTCTGGTTTCAGAATCGAAGAACACAAATCAAGGTTTTCAGTTCTGCACATTTTTTCAACAGTTTTTCTCCTCTGTTTCTTCTTCTTCTTCTTGTGCTTGTTTTTGCTACCTTTATCTGTTTCTCTTTTGTAGGTCAGTCTCGAGCGTCAGGAAATGGAGAAATTGCGAGAAGAAAACCAAGCACTGAAGGAAATGATCAACAAATCTTCTTGCCTTAAATGTTGTTCTTCAGCAAACTCCATCGCCATTTCCATGGATTCCATGTTCACAAGTTCTGACCAAAAGCAACAACAATTAGTAACTGAAATAGTTCGACTCAAAGCCGAGGTTTATTATCTATCTCTTGTTTTCGTTTCCAATTTCTTCAAATTTATGGAACGAACCTTCGATTTACAGGTCGAGGGATTGCGAACGGCTCTGGAACAATACGCTCCTGCTGGAACATCGAGGTCAAGATCGGGGGAGAACGAGGATGCGATTGAAGGTAGAAGGAATTTGGAGAAATCGAAGAGGATTTTCGGTCTGGAGAAAGCTAGGGTTATGGAGATAGCGATGAAAGCGATTGAGGAGGTCGTGAAGATGGCGGATTCCGGGGAGCCGCTTTGGATTCGAAGCTTTGAAACAGGACGAGAACTGCTGAATTACGACGAGTATATGAAGCAATTCGCGGGCGAACACGAGCAGCCGGAGGGAGAAATCGAAGCGTCGAGAGAATCCGGCGTGGTGTTCGTAGATCTTCATCGATTGGTTCAGAGCTTCATGGATGTGGTGAATATTTAAATTAAACCCTAACTCGACTAAAAATTTCTGGAATATTGTTGCCTGATCGGATTCATGTATTTCTTTGTTGTTGTTTGCCGGTGAAGGTTCAATGGAAGGAAATGTTTCCCTCCATAATCTCGAAGGCGTCGACCATCGAGGTCGTCTGCAATGGCGACGGGTCCACCAGGAATGGCGCAATTCAACTCGTAAGTCTCTCTCTCCGAAGAATCTGCAAAAGAGAATTTCTTTTTAAAAATAATAAATTTAGGTAATTACTTAAATAATAAATTTGTTTGGTAATTGAAATGAATTTATTAATTTTTTTCAGTGATTTTCTTACCAAAATAAGCATAGTTTACTCAACTATATATATATATAAAAAAGTAACTTTATTAATTACAAATATTTTCCCCTCAAATTTTGTTAAAAATCGACCTACCTATGAACTAAATCGACCTACCTATGACTCGAATTTTTAATTTTTCAAAAATCGAGAAATTAACTAAGTTAGTCAAATTTCTCGATCTACTTTGTAAAAAATATTAAAAATATTAAAAGAATTATGAGAATCCAACCTCATAAACCCACTTCATATTAGTAATGCTTACGGAAATTGATTTTATTTATATAATTTCTTTAAATGTGCTTATACAAAAAATATTTTTTTTTATAAATAAAATTAAATATTATGCAATGTAAGCTATATATAGAGAATGTTTACCCCAGGTTCTCACCTTTACCGATGTGGGACAAGGACAGCCACAAACAGTTTTTCCTTTTCTTTTTCTTATTTTATTTTTCCTTCTTTTTTATTAATGCATTTATTAAAATGATTTAGTTTTATTATTCTCTCTTTTCCTATATGATATGGAAAATCAACCCAAGGGAAAGTATGGAACGGATTACCTTGATGATCAAGATCAAGAGTAAAGAAAACTCGTTTCTAAACTCGTGATTCGAATCACTCCACAAGCAAGATCGATCATGTCTAGCTTGAATGATTCTTGTTGATCAAATATCTCAAGGCAAGAACACTTCCATGAGATTCGAATCACTCCACAAGCAAGATTGATCATGTCGAGCTTGAATGATTCTACATGCAGCCTAAACTACATAGAATTGCAAAGAAACTTAGCCATTGGCTAAAGAAGAGCACAAATGCTTCTTTTTACTATATTTTTCAAGTCCCTTACACATACAACATACATGGCTTTATATAGCCTCAAAATGAAACTACTAAAGTCATTCCAAGAGTTGTAACATTCATACTTAATGGCCATAATTAACCATTATGTAATTGTAACATATAGTAAATAAAGTCTTAAAATGCATAAATGAAATACAATAACTCTAAATTGTAACCCACCCAAAATTTATAACAATCAAACTTCATTCTTCTTCAATGTGGCATGAATTGAAACATCTTTTGATAATTTTGACAACCTTTTCTTCACATCTTCATTGAAGTATATTGTATGATTGATGTCTTTTGGTTCATATCACTATACTTCTATGTCTTGTAGCTTGATATGTATTTATGACATCAGCAATAAATAATGAATAATTGAAATATATTAAGTGTAATAAGATGTGGTTTGGAAAAGTGTTTATCGTAGAAGCTCATTTTTTCTGCCAGGTTTGCAGATGTTTGCGGAGCTCCAAATGCTCACTCCCGTCTTCCCTCCAAGAGAAGTCTATTTCATTCGAACTTGCAAACGACTAAGTCTCGAAAAGTGGGTCGTCGCTGATGTTTCGATCAACAACGTCGGTGATAGTATAGACTCATCCTCCTCCTTTTGTAGGAAACGACCCTCAGGTTGCATCATTGAAGATACATCTAACGGTCATTGTAAGGTATGAATCTCACAATATGAATTAAAGATTTACTTTAACTAATCTATCCACCTAAACGTGGTCTTGTGTGTTAGGAATCATGACTCTCCACAATGGTATGATATTGTCCACTTTGAGCTTGGACAATATCATACCAATGTAGAGAGTCGTGATTCCTAACATGGTATCAGAGTCATGCGCTTAACTTAGCCATGTCAATAGAATCCTCAAATATCGAACAAAGAAGTTGTGAGCCTCGAAGGTGTAGTCAAAAGTGGCTCAAGTGTCTAATTAAGGGTGTACTTTGTTTGAGGACTCTAGAGAAGGAGTTGAGCCTCGATTAAGGGGAGGCTCTCCAAGGGCTCTATAGATCTCAAGGGAGACTCTCTAGTGTGCTTTGTTTGAGAGGAGGATTATTGAGAATTGTTGGGAGGGAGTCTCACATTGGCTAATTTAGGGAATGAAGCAAAACTACTAGAACTTATGCTCAAAGTGGACAATGTCATACAATTGTGAAGAGTCGTGATTCCTAACATTGTGACATATCAGGTCATAGTGTTAGAGCACTGGGAATGCCAGAAGACCAAACTTCGAACGATGTATCAAACCATGGTCAATAGCGGTTTGATATTCGGGGCAAGGCATTGGATGGCCACAATGCAAACCCATTGTGAATGGCAGGTTTTCTACATGGCCACCAACGTTCCCATGAAGGATTCCACTGGTAAAACTCCTCAGTCATTACTAATCATTCAATCCTTCAAAGTTTTATGAGATCTCAGTTTCTAAAAACTCATAGGAATCACCACTCTTGGGGGGAGAAAAAGTGTTCTACGATTGGCACAGAGAATGACATCTAGTATTTATCAAGCCATGGGTGCTTCTAGCAGCCATACATGGACCAAGGTCCAGAGCAAAATAGGTGAAATCATAAGAGTTGCTTCAAGAAAGAACTTAAATGATCCACGGGAACCTCTTGGTTTAATCTTGTGTGCCGTTGCTTCTGTGTGGCTACCTATTTCTCCTAAACTCTTGTTCGAATTCTTGATCAATGGATCTCGACGAATCGAGGTATGCCTCACTTTTGGCAACACGATTTTCCCTCTGTGTAAGCATATATACGTCGGTGTGTATCGTTCTATACATTGCTATTAAAATGTTGAATCAATGACTTTCAGTGGGATGGGATGTTGAGTGGACCAGTTGAAACGCTAGCAGTGTTTGCCAAAGGACAGAATCGAGGCAATGCTGTTACTATCCAAGTGAGTACATATCAATTATCGAATTAATACTCATTAATACTCATTTTGACAATCCAAACGATTGTTGCAGGCAATAAAATCAGATGAACCCAACAAGTGGATTATACAAGATAGTCTAACAAACGATTACGAATCATCAGTGATCTATGCTCAAATTGACATTACAAGCATGCAGTCTGTGATGGCTGGGTGTGACCCGAGCACCATCACGACGTTACCTATGGGCTTCTCGATCCTCCCAGACGGGCACCCACCGAGGGCATCGGTTATCAGTAAAAGCAAAGAAGAGAGGGTCACAGAAGGAGGTTCGTTGCTAACAATAGCTACTCAAATCCCAGTTAGTTCCTCCGGTACAGCTGAAAAAACGTCGCAGTCTGCTGAGTATGTTAACGATTTCATATCACATACGTTGGAGAATATTAAAGCAAGCCTTCAAGTCGAGGATGATTAGGTATTAATTATTAATATTTCTTATTGAAATTTATTCAAATCAACATATTTTTTACCCTAACCTTATAGTGATTTAGACTGTTAGGCTGTTCAAGTACACATTATTTAACTTCTTTCCTTCCTTTTGTTCTTCTGGAGAAAACAGTAAAGTAAAGTTTTTAAGGTAATTCAGATAGAGTTAATTGTACCTAACGCATTAATTCATTCCCTCGTCATCTAATTGTTAAATTAAAAAAGTGTGGTAAAAAACACGGATTATCCTTGAAAAGATATTTAAATGAACTATGAAACGTTGGAACAAATAACTTCTATGGTATTTAAAACATTACGACTACTCTGTCACTTATGGCGAGGTAATGTGGTCGTTATGGACAATGAAGTGACTAACAGATGACAATCAATGGGAGTGGTCGTTGACGATTAGGAAGTTGTAGTTGCTAATGGTATTTGACAATGATTGATAGTAGTTATCATGCACCACAAGTATGAAAATAGATAATTAACTTGTTAAATTATGAATAAACTAAAAAAAAGTAATAATAATTTGTTAATTATACTATATTTATTCTTTCTTAACGAAGGAATAAAGTGAAAGATTCATTAATCTAATTATAATAGAGTTAATGGGATATATCAAATAGTAAGACAGATGTATTACGTAAAATCTTTAGTTTAACGATTAAATAATCATAGTAATTAATTAACATTATAATGCAAATCTCATTATAAGGAGAATTTGGACGGCAACAATACCACACCATAATCATCGGCAGTTATCTCACTGTTCAGAACGCATCAATTGCAGAGACGAATAGAGATTCTAAGAATTTGGAAAACAACATCCATCAAACAATCTTCAATCATTCATTGACCAGAAACAAGAATAGATCTACAAAACGCAACCGATTACGATTAAACCTGTTGCTGAGACTCCAATGGAATCCCAAGGTCCCCAGCCGCAGCTTCCGCCACCTTCTGCTTCGAATTCCTTGCCGGAACCGGAATGGCGAGGAACGTCTTCATCTTGCTAATCGGCCGGCATTTCTCAAGTTCCACAAAGTCTCCGACCTTGAACTGGTTATCCGGATCGTGTGCCTGGTACTTCTTCTTGATTCTGATGCGCCGTTTGTACTTCGGATGAGGCGCCAATCGCACGACTTCGACGGCAACGGTCTTGTCGTTGGTGGCGCAGACCACGCGGCCTTGCAGGGACTTCATGGCCCTAATGGAGGGGAGGAAATTGAGAGTTTGGGGAGGCGAGGGTGCGGGCTTAGAGAGGAATGAGAGAGGAGTTGAGCCATGGAGGAAAGAGGTGGAAAGTGAGAGCTTCTTGAATCTCTGTAATGGAGGAATTTGCAGGACGGACGAGGGTGTTAGAGTTGCAAACATTTTCTAGGGCTTTTTGGGATATCCGAATTGGAGACGAAGATAAGAAGGGTTTTGTTATCTGTGGATTGGGGAGCGACAAAGATGACTGGGAGAAAGGGGGCAATCGTGTGTGGGAGAGCTCATCGTAACCAATATTGGATGCTTCAAGGAGGTATTAAATAATTAATTTTAATATAAAACAAATATTTTATCTTGTTTTCACTTTATCACCAAAATCATGTCTACTGCTAGACTAAAATGTCTCTAAAATATACTATAGAAAGATGTGACTAGTTCTGAACTCTTTATATTTGGGTTATATGCTATTAAAGACATGGTTGTTGTTTATTTGCTTTTTTCCGTCGTTAGTTGAAACCCCAGTTCATCTATGAGGTGTCGATAGACAGTCGTAGTTGTTTTTGTTCGCTTTTAGCTTATAACATCTTTAAAGCGTGATTCGAGACTTGATCGTTCGTGAAGATTGTTTGTAGAATTCTACTAACTTATTTACCAAGTTAGGACAAATGCGGCACAATTATTATTATGTTATCACAAGAATCGGATAACGAAAAATATATGATATTTATGATGGTTAATAACACTAGATTGATACAATGATACAAATTATACAAAAGCCATTTTGGTTTTACACAAATCAAAATCCAAATTAAAGTGTGTTCTTTGTTCTTCTCATTCTTCCTCCTATTTACACAAGGAATGAGATAGAAAATTGTCAAATCCCAAATGTGGGAAGAAAAAAAAAAAAAAAAGGAACCCCAAATTCATTGATAATTCACTTTCTTTTGCAATTCTCCCTATCCCTCTATCTAATTGTCATCTTCCTGCACCTTTTTTGTTCTTCAATCCCTCTTCAATGGCGGGCCGTTGGACTTTTCACAGCGCTCAAATTTTCCACGTACGAAACCTTCTTGTTTGTCACTATATTCCCAGGCGTATTTCCGTTTTTCGCATCTGAATCGGCGTTTAATTCATCCGACTGCCCCAGTGAAGCCTTCTTCGGCTCGTTCTCGCTTTGTTCCTGACCCCAACCCATGAAATCCAACAGTGTCATTGAAACCGGCGTTTCTGTGCCGTTGTCTTCTCTTTTGCATGGCGTTTTTTCCGGTGGAGTTTCGCTCGCTGGTTTCCTCTTCGGTGCTGTCTGTGATGGATTTTGAGTTACGGCATCAGCGTGGAGTACGTCTTCGATTCGAGACATCACTGTGAAGGCTAGGCTTTCCAGTATTCTGGAGTAGCTCTCCAAAATGGCGTGCCCTACGTCCTGCAATGGAGGAAAAAGTAAGTTCTGATTGATCTTGAAAGATTTCAAACAAGTTTGGTTTACGTTTCTTTTCTGTTCTTTGTGATGCTTCTCCTACTTCTCTTGTTAAACTTGAATTGAAAAGATAATTATCGAGAGTCTAGACAAGGAAGAAGCATTGTTATACCCGATTGAATTGAATTTTGCTGATATCTAGTGAAGATTGTGGGATTCCGGGAAATCGGTGCTTAAGTATTAGCAAGATGGTCTCTGCTCTCTCTTCAAATAGTTCTCTCTTTTCCAAGCTCACTGCTGAAGCCCAAGCAGATTTAACATCTTTCATCTTCCTCCTCCAAATCACTATGGAAGCTTCAATTCTGTCTTTGAGATCTAGGATTTTATGATCTGATGTTAAGTCCATGCTGGAAAGAAACTGATCAGGATCAAAGAACTCAACTGTTATACTTCTGTAGATGGAATCCCCTAGGCTTGCCCTTCCATTCTGTAAATCCATAAAAACAAAACTTAGTTTCAGGTGAAGATTCATTTCGAAATCATTACCAAAACATATTCAATTTCGCTTACTTTAGGGAGAGATTCAATGTAATCTTCAGGGATCTCCATTTCTGATATGATTTGAGCATTTATAGCCATGGCTGCCTTCAGGACCTGGTTCACACAATCCTTCTGGTACTGCAGAAACTTTCTTGACATTTCTGATAAACCATTTGGAGGAACTCTTGCTGTAGGTAGCCACCACTTATCATCTTTTCTCTTGTTATTTCCTTTCTCCGAGTCATCGGCATCTCTCGATACATAATAGAACTCATTCTGTTCTTTAAAATTATCCAGACAACCCTGTGTTTTGTCATGGCAAATCCAATATCACATAGGATTCATTCTGACTGAAGGAGAAAAAACAAGTAACAATACAGTAAATTGTAGGCATAGTTCTTACAATTAACATGGCATCAAGCTTCCTCAAAGCTGGGATGTTCAAGTGCAAGTCATTTCGTTGCCGGGTCACCATTATCTAAAACAGCCATAAACTTCATTTGTAAGATTGAATGAGAAAGGAAGGAACATTTGAGTCAAGCTCCAGGTGTTCATGAATTCCCTTACCTAAGGTTGTGAGAATCATACAAGTCGATTCTAACTACAGATTCGAAATCGAAGGTTTACCTCCATATTGGTTCCATCCTTGGATTTCTGTTGTGAAGGAACAAACTCAACAATGTAGTCTGTGACGGATAAGAGCAAATCGATTTCTTTTCTCCATCTTGTTTTTCTTTCTAATGACATTGGCTCTAGACGCCATTGTTCTCCGAACACAGAAGCTGCAACATTGACAGAAGTTTAGATCCCAACAGAGATTTCTCAGTTACCATGTTAGAAAATTCTAAGTACATACCAGCAAGGTTTGTGATTGCATTAGACAATGCCAAGGCTGAGGAAACACCCTTTCCTCCCCCAGACATGTCTTCTCCCAAGAGTAACTTTGCAAACCTCTCTTTCATTTGTTCCATTTCTGAATTATAACCCGAGATTGGAGGAGAATGTTAATTGCAGAATCAAACAAAATGCATTCCTCCTAGAATGAACAATACCTATTTTGATACCTTAACTTCACATGGCTCGTTACGGTCCTCGAACTTTATGTTTGTTCTATTTTAGCCCCCTTAACCCTCAATATGCCTATTTTGAATCCAAAATTTCTAAAAAAAACTAACCATTGTTATGTCTTAATTTTAATAAATCTTTAGTTATTAACTTTAACAAATGAATAATGTGGCTTGAATATGTGCCTTAGCTTTGATTGACATGTACCTTTGAGCAAGAGGTCAAAGATTCAAATCCCTCCGAGTTATGTATAGGTTGATTAAGGTGAGTAGTGATTAAATGAATATTAGATCTTAAAAGAATGGCTAGGAATTGAACCTAAGGCCTTCTTGTCTCTGGGTTCCTTCTCAGTGACAGCATCTTCATCCTTGGTCAACTTCAGCTTCAGAGACTTTTCAGGTCGATTGGTTGGTGTCAGCGGCTTCTCTGCAGAGTTGTTGTGAACTGGCGTCGATCCTTGGCTTCTTGATGTATCCTCGTCGACAAGAGAGTCCAACATGCCGGCACCCTCGATGCTCAAGCTCTTGGCATGTCTGCCAGAATTCTCGTGCGTTCCTTTGAAATGACATAATTTGGATTTGAAACCTTCGTGCTCCTGCTCCATAGCATGAATCATCTTCAGTTTCTTGATGAAACTTTTGACGGAAAACGCAAGGGACAACAAACCGGCAACTGGGTGATCAATTGCTTCTGGGTTTCAGACAGCATAGAGAGAAAAGGAAGGGAATTAAGAAAAAAAAAAGGAGGAAGAGAAGCAGGATTTTTAGACAAAAAACAAGAAAAATGGTGGTGGGATGGTTTTGTTTTGCTTCTCTTTACCTCCTTTGAACTGAGGAATAAGGAAAAGATTTTGGTTTTGCTCTCTCTCCCCCTCCCTCCCTTCCCCTTTATTTGGATTTCTTCTTCTCTCTCTATTTCTGAGAAGCAGATCGATGCAACGTGAGGTGCATCTTAAGAGAAGGGTGGTTAGAGAAAGAATGAATGAAATATTTTCAACTTGTTTTCGTTTTTTTTTTTCTTTTCTTCTGAAGGCTTCAATTGGATGGTTCTGCTGAAAATCTTGAGGTCAAACTTTGCCAAAAAGAAAAATGGGAACACACCCATCCTTCATTCTTAACCATCATCTCTCCCTATAATTGATACCCATTTTAAGTGCAGGAAGAAGACCACTGATTATTCTTTTATTTTCTTTTTCAATTTTTAGTCTCAAAATAGTTCAATGCTCTTTTCTTGCCCTTTCTTAGTATGTATTCATGGGTAACAATTTTGTCTACATTAAGCTTTAATAATACTATATGTATTGGGGTAGAAATTAAAATTTGAGAATATAGTGATTAAATGGTGTTATTAAGTTAATTAAAGTTTTGAAGTAGATCTGTCATTTGTTTTTAAAATTCCTTCCATATAAATGTAAGTGGGAAGGGGGTCATGGAGTTGTTTTTCAGAATCAGAGCCTACTTTCATTATTGTTTCATTTCCTTGTTTATTTCTTTATTATTGTTCTTGGTGGTTGATTTTGGCAGCTATCTACTTTCTAGGCTTTTTCTACGTCTCTGTCGGTTTATATCCTTTTAATGTAAATGTGTAATAGTCAGCGGATATTATTTTTTTTTAGACTTTCTCTCAAGGTTTTGCATCCGGTAAGTTAAGTAAAGGTTTCCACACCCTTATATGCAATGTTTCGTTCTCATCTCTAACCGACATGTGGGATCTCACAATCCACCTCTTTGGAGAGGCAACGTCCTTGCTAGCACACTTCTCGATATTCGGCTTTGATAACATTTGTAACAGCCTAAGACAACCACTAACAGATATTGTCCACTTTAAAGCATTTTAAAAATCGTGAGATTGACAATGATTCATAAAGAGTCAAAATGGACAATATTTACTAGCGGTGGTTTTAAGCCGTTACATTGAAAAACATAAAGTTATATTTTGGTGATTTAAATTAGATTGGCGTTTTAAATTATGTTAAATTATATGAAATAAGTGAAAATAAGAAAAATTGAATCATTCACGTTTATGAGGTTAAATAAATGAAATGAATTTAATAGTGTTGACTGAAAGTATAAGTTGGAATACAAGGGGTTAGGCCTTAGCTATAGCTCTCAGCTAACAAAGCCAATCCTAGTGGGTAAGTGTAAGTTGTTCTACATTTATAATTAAAAGTATTTATTTCGTACTCCTATTGAAAATAATAATACCTTATTCACTTATATTTAAATATTACAAATCGAATTAGAGCTAGGTTATTGGGCGTGCTAGCGAGGACATTAGACACACCCGTACAAATCATATCAGAGTTATGTTATTGGGTGTGCTGATGAGGAAGATGTCCCCCAAGGGGTAGATTGTGAAATCTCACATTGGTTAGATAGAGAAACGAAACATTCTTTATAAAGATGTGAAAACGTCTTCCTAATAGACGTGTCTTAAAATCTTGAGGGGAAGCAGAAAACTATATATACCAATTTTTTATTATTATTTAAGAAAAAGTTAGAAATTTAATTCTTAAATACGAATAAACAACTCATACATAAATATTATTATTCTTATTATTTAAAAAAGTGAGGAATTTAATTCTTAAATACGAATAAACAACTCATACATATAAAAATAAATTCCTAAATACGGAGAAACAACTCATCCATAAATATTATTATTCTTATTATTTAAAAAAGTTAGGAATTTTGACATTTTGTTTCTTCCTTTTTGTTCAAAGGAGGAATAAAGCACATTTAGAAAGCTTCAGCAAACGTCATCGTTTCACCATCTTCCAATCCCATTCATAAGTACTCCGTTCATATTTGGAATTAACCGCTCAAATTAGTCTTTCTTAAAAGAGTTGGATATCAGGTGCATCACTGATTTGGCCGGCCTTGAAAATCAACAAAGAAACGAGGTTAATCGAAGGTTAGATTATGAGTATTATTATGCTATTTTGTTTTCAATATTCTTCGTCTATAGACTATTTCTAAACTCAATTTTGGTCTCGTTAGATTCGGAGGAAGAAATCGAAGGTTAGATTTGGGCATTTTTTTTTTTTTTTTTTTTTTGATTTAACTAAGCTTAGGACTTCTAATTTNTTTTTTTTTTTTTTTTTTTTATGATTTAACTAAGCTTAGGACTTCTAATTTATTCTAAAATAATTTAGGGATAAAATAGAAGGAAATAATGAAATCTGGAAAATTGGAGGAAATATACGTTTTTCAGGTTTGAACACGCGCACTCTTCATGGAAAATAAATAAATAAATAAATAAACGCTTGTCCATCTTCTGGGGTTTGAAGGAAAATCCAAAGAAATTAACGCAAAAATCACGTCGTCTGGGATTTGAAGCTCCGCTCGTAGGCGACTGGAAAAGTTGGCGCGCGCGTTGGGAGCCACGAGTACGATACGCCTCATCTAGCTGCGTGTGGAGTTACATGAGCGCGTGGGTGACCCATTTTCTTCCTAATTTGACATTTGCTCAATAATTTGACCGGTTCACTTAGTTTTAAACCGGTTCCCACAAAAAGAAATTGGGTTGATTCGTTATCTTGTAAGTATGTTTAGGGCATGATTCCTATTCGTGAACTAACTAAAAGGGGTTAGAGCTTTCTTGATACACAGATTCTATTGTCACGCACGAGGAGCTCTAGGAATTGTAGAGAGTATACTATTGAAGTAGTTCCATTTGTGCCTTTGTGGAGGGATGCGAATAGCCAGTTTACTGTTTTCACTTGAAAAAGGCGATGTGACAGGTAGTTTGTTGTTCTAACCCGAGGAGGGTGTAAAAACAAGCAGTTTACTGATCTTAGAAGTAAACTGTTGTTGCCTTACCCCACTAAGGAGGATCTTTATGTTAGAACCTAGTAGACAAATAGTGTGGAATACGGTCACTGTTTCAAGAACAAAGGGTCACTCTATAGTTATGAGATTTACCCTATGCCTTTTCCCATGGGCCACAATGAATCGAGGCAATTAACACAAGGTTGACGAGGGATCCCACCATGGACCATATTCTTCGCCAATTTGAGTTTTTCTCACGTCTCGATCGTCAGTACAAACCACTATGTGTGGCCCCATCCCATTCCCTTTCCTAACTTTTTTTTATTTTTTTGTTTTATTGTTATGTTACCAAAGTGTACTTTAAGGGGATTTGAGTGGCTATCTTCTTCTTACTTGGGTTATTATTATCAAAGTCATGGTCGTTGCTTGTTGCTTGTTGCTTGCTAGCCTATAACATTGGTTTCTTAAAGTGATCTCCAAACGTTTTTTAAAAACTTGTTTGTAACAATTTGACTTTTAGACAATTTTTTAAAAAACGACTTTGAGTTAATTTTCATTCCATTTTACTTTTCTAGATGCGATTGAATTAGAATACTTTTAAAGCATTATTTTTTGAACTAAAAAGAATATAACATATCAATTATTGATTTAGTTGGTTTAGTTGAGCTGTTCAAATCCTACCCTCTACATATTTTTATATAAAGTATTTATTTAATTGATACTTTGATAGAGTAATTAACAAATAATTACTACTAATGTATTTTATAATTACGAATTTAATTTCTAAAGTTATTCCCAAATTAATTTATAAAATTTAAAAAAAGGGGTGATTTTGACATTATATCTTACCTACTGTAATTTTTGTTATAAACTTCCATTTTGGAAACAATTTTCATACAAATAAGTTCATTAATAAATAGAAAAAAGAATCTAAAAATATAATATTATAAACCGAACGAACTTTACTCCTAAACAAATCACAAAGCAAAATCCCTAAAGAGCTCTCATATTTCAGAAAATTGCTGCAATCCGCCGAAGCTTTTTTGGAGCCCTAAAAATGGAGAAGATAGGAGTTGCAATGACCGATCCAATGGTGAGTTACCTCGAAAAACAGCTTGAACAACGCTTCAATCTCTTCAAGCTCTGGATTCATCCTCTCAACTCCGATTACCTTCAGCAACACGCGCAATCGATCAGAGCAGTAGTCGTCAGTTCCAGTTCCGGCGCCGACGCAAATTTGATCGACGCTTTGCCGGCTTTGGAAGTCGTAGCGAGCTTCAGTGTGGGAATCGACAAAATTGATTTGGCGAAATGCGTGGAGAAGGGGATTAGGGTTACCAATACGCCCGATGTGTTGACCGATGATGTCGCCGATGCCGCAATTGGTCTGGCCATTGCGGTTTCGAGGAGGATTTGTGAGTGCGATCGGTTCGTCCGGAGTGGATCGTGGACCAAAGGCGATTTTGGATTGGGAACGAAGGTATGCCCTGCATTTGTTTGTGTATAAATACAGAGGATAGAATGCGCTGATTATTTGATGGGTAGGAATAAGTTAAATTACAAAAATATCCTTAAACGGTATGAAAAGTTCAAAAATAAATACTTTCTTTTTATAATACTCTTCAACGTTTTTTTAGGATTTAAAAAATACCCTTTAGTTATGAAAAGTATTTTTAAATTTAAAAAATTCATTAATACGTTTAATTTTTCTTAAAAAAAACTTTTAAAATATATTTATTTGAAAAATATTAAAGAAATTTCAAAAGTAATATTAAAAATTTAGAGATAATCTATGAGAAGGCGGTAAACGGTTTTAGTTTATATATAACATTTTTTTTTTATATATATATAAAGGTAAAGAATATCAATGCTACTTTAGAAATTTCATTATTATACTTTGTAATAGTATTATTAACTTATTTAAATATATACTAACAATGATATTTTGAACTTTTTAGAGCTAAAAAAATATTTTTCAAACATTATTAAAAATTGAAGTATATTTTTTAAATAAATTATTAATCATTTCCATCCAAAATTAAAGGTATTTTTAAAATGTTTTAAAGTTAAAAAATATCATTGAAGTTTTTAAAATTTAAAATATTTTGAATCATAATATAAAATTTAGAGATATTTATAACTCTTAGAAATTTACTATTAGAAAATATGTATTCCATAACCGTAATCAATTATTTATTTTTATTAAGTTAAATCAATACAAATTTATTGTTAATTTTTTTTTAAAAAATACATTTTTTTTTATTGGGTACAGTTCTTTATACATCCATTTTATAATTATTTATTCTTCCATAATTTTAAAAAATAAATTTTTAACATGTAATTTTTTAAAAAATATATAATCAAATCAAATGTAAAACTTAACTAAATTTAAAAATAAATAAATAAATATTTTAAAACTAACCTTTTAGTTTTTATTAAAAACAAGAATTTAAATAAATATTAATAATTGATCTGAGTTTAAAAAAAATATATTGTTAGGTACGAGAATCGTTTTGATTGAAAAACTTGACAACTCGAACAGTTATTCTAAGTTTAAAAAATTTCTCCCATTTTTAAAGACATTACATCCTAAAACCTTCAAACAAACACAAGTTTCAGAACTCAGACGTCATATAATTTTACTTGATTCAGTAGTTGTTGTGTATTTCAGTTCAGTAAAAAATCAGTAGGAATTCTTGGGTTGGGAAGGATCGGCTTAGCCATTGCCAAGAGAGCTGAAGCATTTGGGTGCTCCATCAGTTATTGCAGTAGGAATGATAAGCATCACAGTGTTTACAAATACTTCCCCACCGTCCTAGACTTGGCCGCAAACTCCCAGTTTCTGTTTGTGGCATGCAATCTGACCCAACAAACTAACCACATTATCAATCGAGAAGTAATCGATGCATTGGGGCCAAATGGCTTTCTTATCAATGTTGGACGAGGCGCTCACGTCGATGAATCGGAGCTCATCTCTGCCTTGCTCAATGGTTGTTTGGCTGGGGCAGGACTAGATGTATATGAAAACGAGCCCCATGTACCTAAACAGTTGCTCGAGCTTCAAAATGTAGTCCTATTGCCTCACGTTGCATCGGATACCAACGAGACTAGCACTGCAATGGCTGACCTTGTAATTCGAAACTTGGAGGCACATTTCAAGGATGAGCCTCTACTTACTCCCGTAACTTAGCCTAAGTTTAAGAAGTTTGTGTTTGGAGCGATGAGTTGTGTGAAGTTATGAAGTTTCACTATGAAATAATAAACGTCACTATGTACCGCATTTCGATAATGGATGTTTGTTTGACTAAACCATATAAATCAGAGTCAATTAAATACCACTGACTTTAGAAAAATACAAACAGGTTTATTAAAAAAAAAAATTACTCTTCAAAAATAAAACTAAATTTCAAAATTGCTCCCATATGTTAGGGGATTGTTGCAGTGCGCTGGAACTTTTGGCTGCCCTGAAAATGGAGAAGATAGGAGTTGCAATGACCACTCCAATGTTCACTTACCTCGAAAAACAGCTTGAACAACGCTTCAATCTCTTCAAGCTCTGGATTCATCCTCTCAACTCCGATTACCTTCAACAAAACGCGAAATCGATCAGAGCAGTAGTCGGCTGTACCAAGATCGGCGCCGACGCCAATTTGATCGACACTTTTCCGGCGTTGGAAATCGTAGCGAGCTTCAGTGTGGGAATCGACAAAATTGATTTGCCCAAGTGCCGGGTGAAGGGAATTAGGGTTACTAATACACCCGAGGTGTTGACCGACGATGTTGCGGATGCCGCAATTGGACTGGCCATTGCGGTTTCGAGGAGGATTTGTGAGTCTGACCGGTTCGTCAAGAGTGGATCGTGGACGAAAGGCGGTTTGGGATTGGGAACGAAGGTATGCTTCTTTTTATTGTGAATTGCGATAGAGTAGAGATGGTTGTGAGTTTGTTTTAATCGTTGCATTACTTGGTGTCTGTTGCGTTATCTCTCGTCTGATTTTGCTCAAAGTGATTACTTAGTGATATTTGCTTGTTTCGATTGAGCTGGATTGTAGAGGAGAGAAGCCTTCGAACTTGAAATATTAGATTGCGGAACATTTTTGTTAGATTCCAGATATTTTGGTGGAAATTGAAAGACGTAATCATTTCCATTCATTCAATCTTATTCAACACCAAAGATTGCTCTTCACTGCCGTCCGACATCATATGGTTTTTCCTAATCTTATCCCGCTCTTCAACTCCTGGAACAAGAAGTATAATCAAGTCTTGATGATGATAGAATTTTCCCTAACCATTAACTCTTGCGAATTCAGGTTACTTGATTTGATTGATTGATTTAGTAGTTGTCTGTTTCAGTTCAATGGTAAATCAGTTGGAATTGTTGGATTGGGAAGGATTGGTTCTGCCATTGCCAAGAGAGCTGAAGCATTTGGTTGCTCCATAAGTTATTGCAGTAGGAATGAAAAGCATCACAGTGGTTACAAATACTTTCCCAGCGTCGTAGACTTGGCTGCAAATTCCCAGTTTCTGTTTGTGGCATGCAATCTGACCCAAGAAACTAAGCACATTATCAATCGAGAAGTAATTGATGCATTGGGGCCAAATGGCATTCTTATCAATGTTGGGCGAGGTGCTCACGTCAATGAATCTGAGCTCGTCTCCGCGCTACTCGAAGGTCGTTTAGGAGGGGTAGGGCTAGATGTATTTGAAAACGAGCCCCATGTACCTGAACAATTGCTTGAGCTTGAGAATGCAGTTCTTCTGCCTCATGTGGGAACGGATACCATTGAGACCACCATTGCAATGGCGGACCTCGTGATTGGAAACTTGGAGGCACATTTCAGGAACGAGCCTCTGATTACTCCTGTGATTTGATTTTTCCTTACTTCTAGACATCTCCCCGTAGTCTTTGATACATTTGAGCTAGAATGTTAAAACTATTGTTGTTTTATATGGTCTCTCTTGTTTCCCAGAAAGATTGTTGTCAAGAATTCTTTGGTGGACAAAATCTATTTCCATTTCTCATTCAGCTGTCCCCTTATTTATCAGAATGTGTAGGTTTGTTGTTAGGGATCTCAGTTTGTAAATATGACTCCATTTTGACAAATCTTGGATAATTTCTGACCATTAGAGTCAACAAGGAGGTCGTTGCCAGTAATTGATTTTCTTTATCCAACAGTTAGCATTTCTTGGCAGAAAATAGAAATTTAGAAAAAGGGACAATGAAAGTTATTCGAATAGGATTAAGAGTGTCTCCCCGGGACTTCAATATTTACAGAGTATACCCACAAAAGCATCAAAAGCATTTTGAACAGAAACCTTCAAACAATCCCATAATGTAATTTGGACACTTCCTATCATCTCCCTTACATTGGTTCGATCTTTCCCTTCCAATCGAATTGACCTGCCATAGAAAAGGAAAACACCTTCCTTTACTCTCTCTCTTTCCAGCTTCCCAAGCTCTCGAGAGATTCATATATAGAGAAAACACAACTCAAATCACTGGGGCGAAGATGTCACCCCTTTGAAGATGAGAAAGTTGAGAGTCCCCAGTTTGAAGTAGATGAAAGACCCCTTGGAGTGGGTGAAGAAACAACCAAAATTTGAACCCACCACACATTGCCATCCGCTCCCATATCTGTGGTCAAAATCCTGCAAATCCACAAACAAACAAGTTCAGAAATCAAAGCTTGAGATTCTGCCATTAAAGACGAGAAAAAAACATCTGCAATCCACCATATTCTCTACACATACCCATCAAACGGGGGAAGAGAGAGAGAGAGGGGGGGGGGGGGGGGGGGGGGGGGGGGGGGGGGGGGGGGGGGGGGGGGGGGGGGGGGGGGGGGGGGGGGGGGGGGGGGGGGGGGGGGGGGGGGGGGGGGGGGGGGGGGGGGGGGGGGGGGGGGGGGGGGGGGGGGGGGGGGGGGGAAGAACCTTTTTTATGTGAGCAGCAATGGATTTGCAATCGAAAACATCATAGAGATCCAAAGCTTTAGACGCAGCGTCCATGGCTTGGATCTGCATCTTGCTAGGCATATCTGTGTCCTGTACCGAAGCTTTGCCTTCCAACATCCTTTAGCCCTTTTCTAAAAACAGAAAACTGTCTGGGATTTGTTCTCGCCGATCTCTTTGCGTCTTATCTTCAAAATCCAGAAAAGATTTTACCAATCTCGAATGTTTCGTTCTTCCAGGAGTAAAATCAAACACAGATATAAGAAGGACGCAAATGGACGATGATTTTAAACAACGAAAAACTCTGGAATCCCCTCTCCCAAATGTGACGGAATCTTTTGACATTCGAGTTTAACCTGGCACAGATTCCAATTAATACTATTTTTCAGTCATTTTCTCTCCCCACTTTAAGGACCTTTAACAATATTCTATTAATGAAAATCTCATTTTTCATTATCTTCCTTACACTTTTCCCGCTGAAGATAATTATGGGTAAAGGATAAAGCTGCTGAGGCCAATAATGAAGCCAAGTTTTTCGTTGGATTTTTCTGTTAACGAGTCGACGTGGGATAGGGCCGTTAGGTTATGTTCCAAAGTTAAATAACACTGCACAGACAAATTTACTCGCTCTGTGATGTGGATCAAGGTGAAGGGTCCTCGTGGATTGTTTGCAGCCTTCCGATCAAAGGCGGTCTGAAGATCCACAACAAAGTTCTTAGATAAATCAGTCAAAATGGAGAATTTTTCAGTGTTGGATTGGACAATGGACAAGGGTTTTAGATAAATCTAGAAGATAAATATGAAAGATGAAATCTTTTTGACGCCAATCTTACCAGTTTCAGTGACTTATCCAATTGCTTGATAAATGATAAGGAAAGAGAAAAAAGTTTAAAAGGAAAAGTCTTGGCTGACATACAGGAGTGAGAATGGAATCATATTCTCTACCGTTTTCAAAGAGAGATCATTTCTTTTGGCATTGGAGAAACCCACTTATTGTACAAGAGAATCCATCAAGAAAATAAATGGGAGATAGATCTCATTAAAGAACCAAGGAATATATCAATGGAAAAATATCAATAGCACTAAATTGGTGATAGTGACTTTGGTTAATGCACATCATAACCCCCCATGTACGTTGACAAGGACTCCTTGAAAATTCCCACATGCGTAGCTACATCTTTACAGAACTTATACCATCTTCTTATCTAATTCTTCCGATAATAGTTTTAGGGCCACATTCCATGCAGAATCCTTGATCAGTTCTCTTCCAGAACCTGATTTTCTGCAATGAAATAAGAGTATTGCTTCATTTTGAGTCATTTAAAGCCATCCAGAGATGGTTGAGGAGACAAATCTGATACAGTTTTGTTAACACTCTTGCACAGAAACAGAAAGATCTTTACAAAGGTGGACTCTTTATTGATTGAGGTATCTCTGCACAAACCAACAAAAAAATAATCTGCGGACAAATTTCTTATCAACTTCATTCACAGACAGATAACTGCATTGATATGAAACTCAGGAGTCAGTGAGCCTAGTTGGTGCAATAACTGCAATAGAATCTCATTCATATGTGCACGAATTCTTCTTGAACACGATGGCTTTGGTGCTGGTAGAATCAATGCCTACTGGACAAGAGATTTGCTTTATATGCGTTGTTCTCACTAGCTTCCCAACAACGTTTCCTCGGGATCGAATTTTGAACACCAACGTCATTGGAACCGGACCACTTGTTGAGGGAAAAGACAAAGTTGATGCAGCTCCATACATGGGAACCTTGATTCCTTCCAAATTGACAGATACTGTCCGGTGACTGTTTCTTGGTTGGTAATATTTCCTCAACTGCACATAGGATCATCATAAGGCATATGATTTAATGTCTTTGGTCGATTTTCGGTTACAGAATCACAAATTCTTGAGAAGATTTACATTCCAATCCTGGATTTTGTGTTTAACCCTTAGCTTTAATGCCTAGGGCAAGCCTACGAATGCAGACCTCCAATCCAAGCTTTTTTTTCAAACCAATTAGTTCCAAAGCTGTGAGTCAAAAAACAGAAACTCAGTAGAAGTTCATTACCTGACCAGATGCCACAACAATCTCTGAATAAATTAGATCAATTGGTGTGGAGGTAACATGAATGCCAAATATTGTTGCAGGGTTGTATACGCTTAACCTCAATGTGCTATTCAATGTCAGTAACTTGGTAGGAACCCCAGTGGAATCTGAACCTTCCCCAACATAGAAATTATGCACAGCCAAGCTCTGAAAGGATCAGATTGTACATTAAACAATGAACGCTCTGTTCATGAAGTTGGAAATTGACACGGTCAAGAAGAGAGTTTAAGTTTAAAAGAACTGTGACGGATATATATAAAAGATGAACATACTTCAAGCTATCAGTTCCTTTATTGTTTGACGATCTTCTTGAATATGTTCTGGTCTATAGGTTGTATAACTGCGTCCTTAGTTTAAAAGTTTTTTTTTCTTTTTTTTTGGTCAAATATAGGGTCTTATGTTGAAATTTCTAGCGTATCATTTCTTCTCTAGTAAACATAGATGATCACTTCACGTGCGTGAAGGTTTGAGCAACCTTCACTACTTCTTTAATCTTTAGATGATCACTTATTTATTCATCAGGAGGGTGAAGAATATATAAATATATCCAACCATATCAATAGCTATTAGTAACTTGATTACCTTGACAGAAATCTGTGCCTTGAAGGGCCTGCTGGCGCCCCAAATGATCAAGCATAAAAGAGTGAACAAAGTAATGAAACTCAGCAGAGCAATTATTGCCTGAAAGCGTCGTGAGAGAGCCTTGTCCTCAAGGTCATCATAGGGCCCTTCTTCCATAATCACATTACACTCAGGCCACCCCTTGTCATTGCTCTGTTTCTTGCTCCCTTTTCTGCCTGAAGATGACCGGAAAATACCGGAAAATCGGCTCGCAGATGAGTTTCTTGAATGACGACCGAACGACGGGTGTGAAGGTGACTCTATTGGGCTATTGTTATAGATTGGAGTAGTGTGCATTGATGAAGATTTATCCCCATCGTTAGAACACCTTGAAGGGCTCTGCACATAGTATGTTGGTCGCTTTGGTGACCTTGAAGGCGACGATGGCGCCAAACTGGTAATATCAGACTCAGATTTTGCCGATAGCATTTCTTCAGAGATATTGATAATTGAAGATAGTTTCAGAACAAAAATCAGATAGCAGTTGAAACCCAGATGAAGATTTAGAAACAAAAAGCACTAACGCATTCAATACAACCTTGTATTACTAGAACAAGGAATCGATACAACTCCATTTCAAAATGGTCGTCTCAGAATTCCAAAACAGGGAAAACTCTGCAACTCTGCAACTCCTACTCAAAGGCCCCAAGAAGGAAGAAGATGAAATGGGGTAAGCTCTGAGCACCACCGAAGGCCAAAAGGCTCGAAGCAAAATGACAACCACTAGTGGGGGAACGAGTGTCGGCAGCTGCTTGTTATTGGATAGATTAAATTATAAAATTTCCCCGTTTTCTTTATTTTTTTCCTTTTAATTTCAATTGGTGTGGAGATTTTTACAATCTTAATTGTTTAGTGGTTAGTTATAAATTCTTTTTTCAATTTTTTTTTTAAGACTTAGAGAAGATTTGTCTTAGTTGAATTTTGTTTAAATGATTGCTCGTGAATTTTTTTAATAAACAGATGCAAAATGGGTAGATTTAAACATATAATTTGTCCAACATATTTTAAAGTTGCATTATTCGAATTTTTCTTTTACTTGATTTAAAAACTACATACTCAAATTACATATAATTGGTGATTTTATATTTTGCTTTTAACAAAAAGTAGGTTGAAACTGCTTTTTTTTTTTTTTTTTATTTTTTTATTTAATCAAATCATGTGTGATCAAATTGTGCTAAGTTTAGCCATTAAGATTGCCGAAAATCACATTGGAAAGTTAAGGCAATAATTTATTATTTTTAAGAACAATATAAAATATAGAATGTCACCTAATAGATTAAAT